AATTTTTAATCAATTGACAGACTTAAATATGGAATGATTACTATATTTATATACATGCCATTTACATGGTAACATGGTATATGGTAAAGTAACACTATGTCCCTTGGCAGGATATTAGGTCCTATATAACATTCAGATGTCAGGAAAGAAAGTCTTCAAACAACACGGAGTGAAAGTGTTGCAATTGCAAAAAGAGTGTCATTGGAATATCTGATCTTGTGACAGCCATCAGTTTCTGGAAGCGTATTTATCTATCAACATGAGGGCAATGGAAAATATACGCTACACTCCAGAAGAGAAGTCACATGTGATGTGTGTGTAAGAGAGTGTACTGAAGCCTGACCGAGTGAATGATGAAAGTGTGATGCTTGTTCCTGCGCTCCTGTCCCATGATGCCCACCTGACTCTCTCCCATCATCCAAAACTCTCGTGATTTCCGACACAGACAGCACTCAAAATCATTTAGAAACGCTCTGTTCTGTAGCGCTGCATAGGTTATGTTCGGACAGAATACTAGCATACTACATGCTGAATACTGTGCAATGTACTCTATACTGCCTACTATATTTAAATAGAACACATCATATGTTGCCAAATAACTTCTCTACATTTGTATACATCCTGATCATGTTTAATTCAGCAAGAATATCCAGTTATAATCTGTTTTAAATAATCTTTTGACATTTTTTAAATCATCTTTAATGCAATTTTGTGTTAATTATATTATTTTTGGCAGCTGAGTCAAAGATGTAAAAAATTGTGGCATTTCATGCATTGATTTGTCATATGGGAAATAAGAGGTTGAATCAGGCACATTGCATTATGGGATACAGAACAGCACCATATGCAAACTTAGCAGAAATAGTCAATTTGTATGCAGTTCAAACATATGTAGCAGTGTTAGTTAAGGAAGAACGTCTTGGAAATGTAGCCTTTCAAAAGCCTTTTCTTTAGTTGTGCCTTTAGATGAATCAGTGAAGTGTGACCTTTCGTAACTCCTGCTTGTATTTTCATTCATGTGACCCCAAGTACTCGCCCGAGCACTTCCACAGCTCTGAAACTCTGCCGTCACATGAAAACAAGCCTCCAGGATTTTGTGGCCTTTTAACATTGAACTGTCTGCGCCATTTGGGCAACCTTTAAAAAAATATTTTCTCTCTCTTGTTTAAGTTTTAGTTCTCCAAAAGTTTCCTCCTATTCTCTCAAAGGGACTTTCCATTGTTCGTGGGCACATCGTACAATAATATAGGAGGTTTTGCACTGGAACGTATATGTGTGGGTGAATGTTAAAAAAAAAGTTTTTTTTATGCAAAGACAAACTCCTTGAACTTTTGCTGCCATGACTTGCTTGGCATTGTTTTCATTGTGAAGTTTAAAGGGTTAGTTCACCCAAAAATGAAAATTCTGTCATTAATTACTCATCCTCATGTCGTTCTAAACCCGTAAGACCTTCGTTCATCTTCGGAACACAAATTAAGATATTTTTGATGGAATCTGAGAGCTGTCTGACCCTGCATAGACAGCAACGCAACTGAAGTGTTCCCAAGTCCAGAAACGTTGCAAGGAGATCTGTAAAATAATCCATGTGACATCAGTGGTTCATCCGCAATTATACGAAGTTACGAGAATACTTTTTGTGCGCAAAAGAAGAAAAAAAACGACTTTATTCAACAATTCGTCTCTTCCGCATCACCCTGTAAACAGCGTATGCTGTTCTGTGTCAGCTGCGTCACGCCGGATCTGTTTCTTACGTTGTTGTGATTGGATCCGAACGGAAACAGCGTATCCGCGTGACGCAGCTGACACAGAACAGCATACCTTGTTTACGTCCAGCAGATATTCTCCAAAATGGCACCAGGGTGATGCAAGTGATGCAGAGATGATGCCAACCCCTCAGAGGACCTCAGATGATGCCAACCCTGAAACAACATACAGAACTACCACATTTTGCTATAAGTTTGATTGCATCATATAATAATTGCTGTTAATAGTGTTCATCGTCTGTTTTATTACATCTTAAATGGATTTTTCCGTACATTTCTGCCATATGTACATTTTTAAACTGAACTGAGCTGGATGATGACATCACTGAATTCAATGATGAACTGTCTTTAACTGAAAAATGAGTGTTTACTATTGTCATTTTGCATTATTGACACTATTTTCCTAATTAATGCTGTTCAGTTGCTTTGACACAATCTGTATTGTTAAAAGCACTATATAAATAAAGGTGACTTGACTTGACTTGACTTGACTTGATGCGGAAGAGACGAATTGTTGAATAAAGTCGTTATTTTTTTTTTCTTTTGCGCACAAAAAGTATTCTCGTAGCTTCGTATAGTTGCGGATGAACCACTGATGTCACATGGATTATTTTACAGATCTCCTTGCTACGTTTCTGGACTTGGGAACATTTCAGTTGCGTTGCTGTCTATGCAGGGTCAGACAGCTCTCAGATTCCATCAAAAATATCTTAATTTGTGTTCCGAAGATGAACGAAGGTCTTACGGGTTTAGAACGACATGAGGGTGAGTAATTAATGACAGAATTTTCATTTTTGGGGTGAACTAACCCTTTAACAAGGGCGACTCATGTTGTCAACCCCCCTCCGCTCATAAAACAGTATTCGCACGGTGTGTGGCATGCAGTGTTTACTAATTAATACCTGAAATGTGCCGTGGTTTCATCAGGGGAGTGCACCCTGGGAGTACTTCACAAAAATGGCCTGGCTTGCATGACTGTTAAATAAGAACTTGATGAGATGATGATTTTCCCTTGGAGAAAAAAAAAAAACCCAGAGGTTAATAGAGATACACAAATGTTATCCACCCGGGAGGCTTGCTTCGGAAGTTTAAATGTGAGGAAGTTGGAGTTTTATTCTCAGCTGTGCTGTGTCTCTCAAAGTCTACATGGAAAGGAGGATGAGAGGAAATAGTTTTCTGGTGTTTTGGACTGCACCCTGTGAAGCTTCACAATAAAAGGAAATACGTCCTGTATATCATTTTAAAGGGACAGTTCACCCCAGAATTAACCTGCTTGTACCAAATCTCTATGATTTTCTTTCTTCGATGGAACATAAAAGGAGAAGTTTAACAGAATGAAAGTTAATGAGGAAGGGACACTCCATCTCCAAAAATGACGCAAAACACACACACATTAAAATCACCAAGTATCATAAAAGCAGCCCGGTATTATATTTTTAAGTCTTCAAAAGCTGTATGATGGTTTTGTGTGAAGATCAGACCAACAATATTCACAAATAATCTAATTTGTGTACATTTAAATATGGTGTGTAAACATATAGTGTCAGGTTTGGAGTAAATAATGGAACATGCTAAATAAGGCTACGTTTACACAACAAAGATGTAGTCAAAAACGGAAAAGTTTTTTCCTTGCGTTTTTAAAAAGTTTCACATATACACGACGTTTTCAAAATGATTAGCGTTTACACATATCCGCGAAAACGGCCAAAAACGCTGTATTACATATGACAGGCCAGTAGTTGGCGCTGTCACCTGGTTAGTAAACAGTACCTGTTGCCGTGTGATTATGATGTGTCTCCGCTGTTGATTGTAATATTGGTGAAGTAAATCCACACTTTGCTGAAGAAGCGTTAGCAAACTCTTAAACAGCAACAACAGTACCATATACTCCGCCATTGTTGTATATGTTTGTTCTCACTTGCCTTTAAAATCGACACATACTGCGCATGTCTACATACCTAACACGCACTATGCACGTGCATGACGTCACCGTTTTCAAAGATTCCCGTATTGGGTGTTTACACGGAAACGATAACTTGCACTTTGAAACCCGTTTTCAAAAATATGTGTTTTCAGTCCCCAAAACGCCACTGTCGTGTAAACGAACAGGCAAAACACATAAAAAGTTAAAATGTAAACGGCCCCCTAAAAGACTTGCCTTGTATTCAGATATGCATACTTCACTACTAAGTCACATGACATTGAATCCACAATGTCTGCATTTCATTCATACTGTTAAGAACATACTTTTTTAATGGTTCTTATTCAACTGTAGTACCTATTCGGACAGTATGAGATCGACTCAAATTTTGATTCCATTGACAAAATCTGGCGACACATCTTGACATGGCATATCTATAGAGCTCTTGACATGTGGGGAAATAAAACAAGATATCACGCCCACTTATCAATTAATTCCCTTGTAGCCACATTGTACTTATTCTCCACAATTTTCTTCCACATGTCATGTGTGAGGCCCAGTACTGCGCATAAATTAGATTTTTCAATCTGTTCCTCACATAAAGCTTTCACATTTGAAAATAGGGCACGAGTCGTTTGGACTGAAAAGACCGTCTTGAACATTCTTCAAAACATCACTTTTTTTTTGGGCCCACCTAGGTAAAAGTCTGAATTACCATATGCACATTTTCTCATATTACTTTGTGTGGAAACCTGATAAATGGCTATAACGTCCATTATTGATTAATTTATGATACTTTGTCTACTACTATGAGAATAATTGCACAAGATATGAGGTATCTGTCTCCAACAAGCTGAGTTTTGTCTTCTGGAGAGGAACTACAGGAGGAACTCTTCCCCAGCTCTGGTTTGGACATCCTGTTAAACACAAAGCTCCTGGTTCGGGATGCCACTTCCTCAGTCCGTCTGGTTGCCCGCAGTATTTATATTAGCGGACTTCCTCTCTGCTCGTTTTTAAAGGCACATATTAATGCCTTATTCTGCATGACCATATTTTAGATCTCTTAACCCGACCCCATACCTAAACATAACTTCTACAACTACTACCTTACTTATATTAATAAGCAGCAAATAGGCGTTAATTGAGGCAAAAGTCATAGTTATAGTAAGAATTGGTCCCCAAACTAAAGTGTGACCATCTACACTGTTATATTTTCTGAAGACAAAAGTCTAATCAACAGTAATAGTGATGCACCATGATTTATCTGTTCAGGTAAATGCTACATTTTGATGAAATGTCTTTGTTTCTCTGCTCAGGAGGCGTTTGTGGAGCTCTACAGCAGGCAGAGGGACTCTGTGTTTCGCAGCTCGTGGTCATCAATAGTAACGGTCTTCGGTCTAGCGGCTCTCGGGGCCGTTGGCTTGACCATAGGAGCCTACCTTGCTCAGAAATGAGGAGCCTTCCCCTTCTTCAGTCGCTTGCCCTCTCTCGCCGTCTGAACCCCTCCTCTGCTTTCCCCAGAAGACATTCGTGTCCCAGGACTGCTCCTCTTCAAAGCTTCTCTCCCACTCTCTACAAGGTTTTCTTCTCTGCCCTCAAACACAAAGACAGAAAAGACAGGAAATAAACGCGCTGCCGACAGATCATGAGAGGATGGAAGAGAAGAAAAATAACGAGGTGAAAGAGACACAATGTCATTGGCAGAATTAGATCAGATCTCAAAGACTTTTGACAGTTTTGGTGTTCTTAAAAACGATGGAAAAATACAAAGGTCAAGACACATCTGGAGGTTTTGAAGGTCTGTGCTGATTGAAAGTATCTTCGGACGACACCAGCACTCTCCAAATGTCCTTTAAGAGTCAGGTTGATCTTAAGAGACAATCTGCACTAAACTACCATCGTTGCTCTTAGTTGTTTTGGTAGGATTAATTGTAGCCCGTCTTTTACCCATTGCTCTCTCCAGCTAACGTTTCTTGTGCCACCATCCTTGTATCATATCGTAAGAAAGAACCTGAAGAAGGAAAAGAGAGAAATGCAGAGACAATGTCCCTCAAGCCACCTGATTTTGATGAAATTTTGTGCTCAAGATACGGGTGAGAGATACAGTATGCAGAGGGAACAGCTGAAAAATGGATAGTGGGATGCCAGTCTCTCTTTGTAGCAACTTAAAGAGCATTATTGAAGACTGAAGAAGGGTTTCCTAGAAGTGATTTGGGCCAGAAGGTAAATAGAAAGGACCGAATGGGAAAGTAGTTGTCTTTTAGACTTTAAGAGAGCCTTGGTTAGACACTTTATTGACATGTTTGACAGATGCATGTGAACCGGTCAAAAGACCTCAAGCTGTACAGTATGTTCAAAGGTTTATTCTTCTTTAATACTCCAGATACACATCTGTTCACTCTAGTGTTCATTCATACACCAAAAGAAGCAGTTGGGCGGATCTCAAATCTGTCAAGAGCAAAAATTCATCTCAAAATCAAAAGGAAGATATATTAATATATTATATACACACACTACCGTTCAAAAGTTTGAGGTCAGTAAGATTTTTTGAAAAGAAATTGATACTTTTTATTCAGCAAGGATGCATTAAATTGGTCAAAAGTGACAGTTCAAATCAATGCTGTTCTTTTGAACTTTCTTTTGAAACCTGAAAAAATGTATATGTTAAGCAGCACAGTTGTTTTCATTGCTAATAAATGTTTCTTGAGCAGCAAATCAGCATATTAGTATGATTTCTGCAGGATCTTGTAACACTTAAGACTGTAGTAATGATGCTGAAAATTCAACTTTGATCACAGGCATACATTTAAAATGTAAAGTATTTTCAAATAGGAAACAGTTGTTTTATATGCTAATAATATTTCACAATATTACTGTATGTTTGATCAAATACATGCATCCTTGGTGAGCATAAGTGACTACATAAGTGAAGCACATTTCTCCCCACCATTCATATTACTTTAATGTAATGATTTAAATAAAGTACATATTGCACACAACACGCACATTGTTTGGGGTGAAATGTGACTGGGACTTGCTTTCACAAAAATCCAGATTTTTCACTTCTATTCTTATTATTTAATTTCCAAAGCATCATGTTCAGGGATCGGTTGGGTCTAGTATAAACAAGTGGAAATCTGCAATGGAAATCCATTCTGTGTTCCTTGGATCTGGTGTTTACAGTTATATGTGCAATCTTCCTGATGTCTGTTCCCAAAACAGCATGCTTAAACGTAATCCCGCCGCATGTTTAAAGGATTGCCACGCAGGAAATGAAAGGTTTAAGTGCAAAACCTATGGACAAAAACAACTGTATACAGTGTGTACCATCGGCTTTGGTGCTTTTGCATCGGTTGCCTTTGGGTTCACATGGAGCCACGATGAGACTTCGAACAACAGAGGGACGTACGACGTTCCCAGAATGCGCCGTTGTTAAATGTTTGCTCGCACTGATGTAGGATCAGAGGTCATAGGCTGCATCCTTCCCTATGATCTCCTCTAAAGACAGTGGCTCTGTATGGGGTGCTAAGAGATGCCCTCTTCAGTAGATCTTACATCCTGAACCAGTCATTGTTACTTGTTATCTGACTTTGGATGTATGTTCACTTTACTATGTGATTCCGTCTAAAATACATATCCAGTATTTTAATAGGTGGTTGATGGATGGATTTGCATATCAACCATGTCTAGCGAAGCAGAAGAACAGGCTACACATGTAAAAGGCACCTATTAGCTAAATGTCTGTATGTGATAGCGTGGTCAACAACAACAAAACCTGTCTGAAAGGATTGAAGCTTTATGTAAAACAAGTTAGCTTTCAAAAAGAGCAGTTTGTCTGGTTACTATAGTGTCATAAATAGATGTGGTTTGTCTCTCGTTTACAGCTGTGACTCTCTCGAACACTAACATTTGTTAAACAGATTTCATTCTTATTTCACTTTTATTTATTTTTAGGTACCTTAAACAATCGTCCAACTGTAGCTTCAGAAGATCATATACCCCCGGTTTCACAGACAAGGCTTAAGCCTAGTCCTAGACTAAAATGTAAGTCTGAGCTGTTTCAACTGAAAGAAACTAGCACTGACTGATATTAAAATAGATCAGTGCCTTTGTTTTGTCTCAAAAAGCACACCAGTATTGTTTTTTTCTAAGCACGTTTATAAAAATGACCTAAATCTCCTAATTGAACTATGGCCTAATCCTGGTTTAGGCTAAGCCCTGTCTGTGAAACCGGGCCTTAGAGTTTTATTAATTTTAAAGTTTTAGTTTCTACGATTTGGAGCACACATATGAACCTAATTGGCTGAATCAGTGTTGCTTAATGTAAAGATTAGAAATTCTATAAATCACAATTTAATTGCCTGTTCTGTGTGGCGATGTCATGAATATTAATACTTAATTTCATGTACTTATTGTTTCATGTCACTTCCACTGTTTCTGTAGCTGTATGGAAATCCATACAAAAAACATCCTAATTTACATCCTAACTGGAGTCCATTGAAATTCATTCAGATATTGTATTTTCACTAGTGATAAGTCAATTTTAACATGTCAAAATAAGGATTCAGATTATATTAAAATTATTAATAACTATTAAGATCTTTAAAGGAAATTTCTGACACTTGAGTGTGTCTATATATATATATATATATATATATATATATATATATACTTAGATTTTAAAACACTTCACTGCAAAACATTTTCTTATTTAGCATCCCCCCCCATCTTCTAAATAAAAATAATTAAAACAAGCTAAATTTACTGGAGAAGCAAAACTGTAAGCTATTAAGATATTAATATATAACAAAAAACAACAACAACAACATTATAAGTAGTATGCAAATAGATTTCTCATTAAAGGTGGGGTAAGTGATTTCTGGTAGCCAATGTTGACATTTGAAATCACCAAAACAAACATGCCCCTACCCCAAAAGGGTCTCACTCCTATTTTGATAGCTCCGCCCCACACATACGTACACAACCCAGGCAATGATTAGTTCTGTGAAGCAAAGCAAAACCAATGTTACACTGTGTCTACACTGGACGCGAGTGGTGTGGCGCTACAAAATACTATGGAACTCATTATAATCAGTGATGCTGTCTACACCATTGATACAGTGCACAGCATAAATGAGTACATCCCCTCTAAAACTTAACAAATTCAGCAATTACTCTTTACTTAGAAGACATGTTAGGGTTCTTTGGAGATGTAATGTTCCAACAAGCCTGCGTACGCAACCCAGGCAACGATTAGTTCTGTGAAACAAAGCAAAACCAATGTTACACCGTGTCTACACCGGACGCGAGTGGCGCGGCGCGACAAAATACTATAGAACTCATTATAATCAGTGATGCTGTCTACACCACAGCTATATATACATGTCTATGTTCTACACTGGATGCGGCACGACACGACACGCCAAATCCCCGACAGAAAACTGCTGCTGCATTCTATTCATGACATATTGACACACATTTAAAATGATTTTCAACGGTCGCTTTGTCGCGTCCAGTATACTAGACAGACTTTAGCTGTTGCGGCGCAGACACGGCGTTACTCACCTATCAAGAAGAAACAAAGCAACCTCGGCGTCCGATCCCAGGCCTTCCGCTCCTGGAGTTCTCTCCAGCGCTAGAAAGCTGATCCGATATTTACACGGGTCCTACTTCTTGCCTTATCGTAAACCTTCTTTTGTTCCGCGGACGTTTTCCTCTTTTGTTTTTTATCTGCCATCTCTATCTTTCTGTCGCTCGGCTCGAACCGAACGCTCTCTCCTCCACATCATGAGTAGACGCGCCCCTTACTGCTGATTGGCTACAAGTTTGTTTTGCTAGTCGGCCCGAATCGGTTTTCTAAAGCGTTTTTGAAAAATCGCTTACCCCAACTTTAAATGTCTAATTTCAGTTCATTCAGCTGTTTATCTAAGGTGATTTTACTAAAACCGGCATGTTAAAATTGATCTTTTGCTTGAGAGAATACTGTATGTCTTTTGAACATGTCTTTTAGTTTGATTTTTGGAAAGCTATGTAATTTATATAAATTTATATATATATAATATTCTGTATAAATGGACTTTTCTTTGCAATAAGTATATTAATCTATTAACGAATGCATCATTCACTAAACTGTCTTTGTGTTGCATATGTCTTTCATGAGCTCACATATGTATAAACACATTCAAAAATAGGTGAAAGGTGAAAAAGGTCAGATTTCACAATGTACAGTAGTCACAAAATACATGTCTGTTTCTGAATGATCCTGTATTGTGTTGTTGTTACACCTGGAGCGATTTCACTGAAGAAAAGCTGCTATAGTCTGTGATAGCGATGCACAGGACACACAGAGTCCCCGTGCTGTTGTGTTTGATCGTGTGGCACTGCTTGAATAAGCTACTAGAGTCTAGAATCCCTCTGTTCCTGCCAAACAAATTAAGATTCAATAAAACGAATTGAAGACGCCTTTGCCTCCGTGAAATGACTGATTTACGGTGAGATTTTTGTGAGGAAATTCAAAAACACATCAGAAGGCGGCGTGTCGCAGTCACAGTCGTTTAAGGGAAGATACACACGAACGGTCACGAGCGCTGGGGGTGTTATTTGTTCACCGTGTCCCCTCGACTTCAAAGACGTCCCAGAGCACGTCACATCTCCAATCCCTCGTCCCACTAAATGCCATGCGTGTAAAAATGACTCCCGCAGGCCAGCTTTCACTTCGCACTCAATCGCTCTCCTCACACGCTCTTTCTTTTTCTTCAGCTCGTGGCGTTCTTCAAAAAGATACCACTGCACTGAATCTGTGAAAAGCATGATGCGGTAAAACGAACGGTGAATGAGAGAGCGACAGAAAGACAGACGAGACCCAGAGAGAGAGACAGCTCCCAAAGGAGCGAGTTCATGCCGCTTGAACCGGCCTCCGTCCCCTGAGCGCTGGCTCTCCCTTCATGCATATGGAAGACACGACATGCTTTGACTGGAAAAAGAATTGAAAATCACAGTCAGATGCTGATGTGAGCGACATGCCAATAGCTGTGCGCTAGTTTTAGTCAGAACGATCAATATTTGGCCTAGTTTAAATGTAATGTTTTTCTGTGAGAATATTTTACCTGGTTATCATGAAAATGCGTATAAATAGTACGCCAAATAAAAACGAAAGCTCGTGGTATTGATACGCAAAAATGGACTTTGGCGTGCATATGATACGCATGTGTTTGGCGTGCATATAATACGCAGTTTTCGCGTGCGTATGATACGAAATTTGTTGGCGTGCGTATGATACGCAGTTTTCGCGTAAATATGATACGCATCTACCCCACAACCCTAAAAAAAAGCCAAAGTCCATTTTTGCGTATCAATGCCACGAGTTTTCGTTTTTATTTGGCGTACTATTTATGGGTGATTCTTAGACTATGGGCACTTTTATGTTCTTTGGTCATATTTATAAAAATACATATAATTTTGGACAAATTCCTCTTTCTTAGTCAAACTAACAATAAAACCACCTTAAAATCTTTTTACTACCTTTCTATTATGATTTTTTCATACTGTTCAACCTCCTTATAGGTGTCAAAATCACTGTTTTCTCCTTGTCGCACACCCAGACTTTTAAACTTCAACAATGAAAATACAGTTTAAAAATATGACTTATCTGGTAACTATTAATGTACCTGAATTAAGCACTAGTAAAATAATTAAAATACAAAATAGTATTTAATGTGAGACCACGATCAATATTACTTTTTATACAAAATATAGCTGTCGCACAGTATTGGTGTCATTTCCACCACAACACTGTAATGTCCCTTTAACAAGTTTGTGTGAAAGATTGTTTAGGTGGTTTCTATGGAAATGTTCAGTGACATCAGAGCACATGTTGGACATGGAGGGAATTTAAATTTTCATCAACAAATGAAGAAAAATCAAGGTAAATATCGCTTGATCAGTTAATATATTTATTCGACGTCATTTCCAAACATGCTGTACCTTCAAGGGTGTTTTTAAAAAGCTAAACATTT